TTGAATGCATTTTTTTTTGTGTTCCATATTCTCTTATGGATTTTGTTATTTATATATATCTATGTATATATGTATGTATATATATTATTTTTTTTTTATTTACATTTTATCTCTTTTATTTTATTTTAATTATTTTTTTTTTCCAAAGAAGTATATAAACAAATGTCACTGCGAGTTCTCAAAACCAAACCGTACGGAATGAAAGCTTAACGTCGACTGAATAGCCTGATTCGTTGAGGCAACGTTCCAAGCAAGGCAGCATAACGGCAATGGTAAAGACCAACAAAGTCCAATAAGATTGGTGTTGCTGTATTGTAAATATGTACGTGTGCATATTATTAGGGTGGTTGTGTGTGTGTGTTGTTATTAACTATACATACAAACTTCCCTACATTCTTTGTTATACAAATATGCTCACCTAACGACATGCATACATACATACGTACGTATGTGTGTATGTATATGTGAGTGTAAGCATATATTCTCTTAAGCATATATTTTATGTTCATTACCTTTACAAGCAAGCTATGTATGATGTACGTGTGTGAAACGGCTTCAACGCCATAAGATATGCAACAATTTTTTTTTCGGCAATACACATACAAACATACACACACACCTACACTGGTAAATGCTATGCATACGAATTCAACAGGATGCTCGTATTTTCTCAATGTGCCGATAACAAGTACAACAAATATTCATGGTTATGGCTCTGTTCGCCGCTCGCCGCTCAGCATTTGCTCTGTTTACATGCACACATAAACGCACTAATATTATTTCCCGCTTTACTTACGCTTATCACAGTCAGCGTTGGTTTTTTTTTCTGTCTCGCCAAATGTTAAGCGCGCTCTTTTATCACACGTACCCACAAAGTGGTAAAGAGAGCGAAAAAGAGAGAATGAGAGTAATACACTGCAGGAACGATAGAAAGCTTTTCACCATACATAAAGCAAACGGACTCTCACATTTTCATGGATTATTATTAGATATGAAGCAATCCACCTGTTGAGCCTCCTAAATGCTATAAACGCACACACATACACATTCGCTTATGCGTGTATTCAATCACATTAACATATACATACAAGTCTCTGAATTTAGTTTTTATTTTCACCTGTATTGGAAATTAAAGTATTGGAAATGCCTTAGTGTAGGTCAGTACAAGAATATTGCGTTAATATAAAAAAAGAAGACTTGCGTACATATATATATATGCCACAAACTGATATGGTTAAAACTATAAAATCAGCAGAGTTTGTCGGTCATCAGTGATTTTTTAAGTTACGACAAATATGCACCATTTTGCTCGCTCAGTTTGTCAACAGGCCTCTTTCATTATAATTCTTGTCCTTATTGACGAATAATTGGGACCATAGATTTTTGCGGACCTTAAATTTTTTCCCTCAGATAATGCAATCGTTGAAAACGCCGAAGCGCAGTGAATCATACTTCCTTCCCAATCCCATTACACAATGCACATAACTATCCTGACCGTCAGTCTTATTTTAAAGGCCTTGCCAATCCCAATAAGCAAATAACAAAACCTTCGTGGCCGTGAACCCTGGCCTGGACACCGTTTGTATCGGCCCAGTGCTCTTCGATGGCCGTTTTTATTTGCCTTGTTGCCGTAATTGCCCCACTTTTCATCATCAACCACCGTCCGCTTCAGCAATTGTTATTACGATTCAGCAGCGATTCTCATATGGAAATCGGTTCACGAGGTATTTTCTCGTTAACTCAAGTAGCACCCATACATCGAGCTTCTTGGTGAATCCAGCCTTTTTCAGGTGGTTTCAAACTGTTTCTGACGGTCATACTCATAATATTTTTCTACATTCAGGGTGCCCATTTTGGATTTCGGGTTTGTTTGTTAAAATTTTAATGGCAAGTTTAGGAACCTAAATTCATTGTAATGAACTGATAAATAACTTTTAATAAAATATTGATTACTGAAAAGCTCTCAATAGTTTTTTGAAAAAATTTGAACAAAATTTTATTGAGCCGTATAAATTTGGTACCATAATTTCATTCGAATAGAACGTCTGTGGTGTGTCGGTAAATAACTACGCTAAGGGTTAGAGGTTATCTTACAACTGATGCTCAGAGTATGCTGAATTTATGGAGGGTATGCTTTGCAGCCTGCTGAGTGCTGACGAAAATGGACCATTAGAAGATGACAGTCTCGACTCCACGTAGATTACCGCCGAAATAATGTTTCATTAGAAAATAAAAAAAAATAAACGAAGCGGCTGGGTTCGATGGACTGCTGGCTGGGCTATGCAAATACAACGGTATAGAACTAACAGCGTGATTAACGCATGCGTGACGAATGTAACCCAAGTGTGCTCTGACCAACCCACAAAAAACGAGTCCCATAAACACCTTCGCGTCGAATCAAAGATAACCCCTTTTCGAACCCACCGCCAGTGAACTGAATGAGCCTTATTAGTGTGACGAGTGTCTCGCCAAATAGGCCTTTGGCCAAATACTCAGAAAAGCCAAATCTAGAAAACGCGCTGCAAAAAAAATGATCGACACCAAGCGAGAGCTGCTGTCGAACGCCTAAGATATCATTGACGTCAACAATCGCATCATGTGTTCTGCTTTCTCCATGCTGACGAGGACAAGAAGAGGTAAATATCTGCTGCCATCAGACAAACACATATTGCATTGGCGAGGTCGTAGATAATTATAGATAGGCGAGAGTAGCAGGCGAAGGACAAGCTTTAACACTAATAATAATGTCAGCATGGAAATCCAACACAGAATAACTCTTGCCAATAGATGTTATTTTAAAATGAGGAGGCAATGGAAAAGTAAAGTCCTCTCTCGATCAACAAAGACCAAACTCCACAAGTCACTTATCCTCCTTGCTCTGCTATATGCGGCAAAAGCAGTGACGTTGACAACATCTTATGAGTCTAAGTAAGAAGTTTTCGGGAGAAGGTTTTACGTAAGGTTTATAGTTCTTTGCGCATTGGCAATGGCGAGTACCGCAGCCGACGAAACGATAAGTTGAGAAATAGAACGATATTAACATAGTTCACTGAGTCAAAGATGCTGGTTTGGTCATATGGTCCGTATAGATGAAAACCCTCAATCTTTGAAAGTGTTCGATGCATCCTCTGACAGCGAAAGCAGAAGAATAGTAAGGTGTCTCCTCTGTAGGAAAGACCAGAAGTCGGACAACCAAAGTTTCTTCCTTTAACGCATGCGACACAGAAATATAGAGGTACTTTGAGTAGTCAGCCACTTTTAAATGATTCGCGGATATTAAGTAAGTAATGACTAATACACCCGCTAACTCTTTGCCGCTTGCGTTCCAGTGCTTCTCTACTAGTTGCAGAATTTCATTAATTTTTGAGTGACTTTTTTAAAGGGAAAAAATTTAGCACAAAATAGTTATGTCATTTTCATCTTAAAACGAATTTTCCCCCAAATAACGAATTACAAAACTTTATGTTTGTAAAATATTCTTCGAAATGACAGCTTTTCAATCGCTTTAGTTGCAAGTCAATGTTCTTCAAAGTAAAAGTATCAACACCACCACTTCGACCAAGCTTTGTTGTTTTCACTAATGAAAGAAACGAACAGTTAGACCAATAATTGTAATTGCATACGCCCGGGTGGGAAGAGAGTATACAGCTCCTCATAAAAATTCATCAGACATTTTGACACGTCTTAGAATAAATTGTAGGCCTTTCAATTTAGTTGAAAATAATCTACAATTTCGTAGAGGAACTTGGGCGCTTGCTTCAGGCTTCAAATAATAGGCAATCAGCTGAGTTGCTGTTACCGCCATCAGGACCAGTTAGGCCAAGCGATTCATTTATCCAGCGATCTTTTATTACTCAATCACAATCATGGGGTCACAGCTCGCACGCACCTCTGTATCGTTGAAGCTGTTAGCATCAGGATAGATGTGCCGTCTCAATCTGCTGAAGATCAGACACTGACTAGGTAATGTACTTGACACATTCTTTATTTCCTAGCTTGTGGAGATAACATCTCTGGAAAGATTGCTTATTAATACCCCAAAAAAATGATAAGTTCTGATTTGTTAATTGCAAGTAACTGTTTGGTTGGTCTAGAATCCATGCTGTCCTAAAAATAATTTGTTGATGGGTTCTACTTTGGAAGAGTTTCCAGATTTTGAATATTCCTCAATGGAATATACTTACAACAAAATTTGAAGGCGTTGAAATGCCTGAGGCACATAGATGGTGATAGTCTGTCCAGCCGCGCCTTTGCGTGCCAACTTGACCGCCTTCACTATCTTTTTCCGTGATAGTCAGCTTATCACTGCTTCGCATGTTTTTACGCCTTAATTGACGCTCGATTGTACAATATATCAGATATCTGATATATGTACATTCCCAGTAAAGCGGTTGCCCATTTTCAGTGATGCCCAAAATTTGTGCTTGGAAAATATGGTAGTTATTAAACGTGAAGCTACTTGTTTACTGGGGTGGTCACAGAAGAACACTGCTCTACTGTTTGCCTCCCGGTTTTCCTTAATAGCACAAAGAGTAGCAGGCACCAGGTTTCCATTTCTCGGTGGGATTCATGTTTAGATCGAGTTCAGATATACATTTCTGAATGCTGCTTAATGCATCAATTAAATGCTAATTTCTAGGGCCTTCGCTGAAGTAGTTCTCATCACGCCTGCTATGCCAAGTGGACAGGTGCGTTGCAGCTATTCCAAAGCTGTTTTCTTTAATGTCATCCATCACGCCGACACTTACGACTTACGGCACTTTTTTTAAGCCTATGGACTATGTAAAGTCGTGGCCTCCAATTTGGTGCAAAAGCACTTTTAAAACTATTCCAAAAAAATTTACTCTCAGCCCGATCAGCTGCGGTTTCACGTCAGCTCTATATTACCCACATAACATCACGACACAAAATTACAACGAGAATTCCATACCTTATCTCTTCTATTTTATATTTGTAAAAACTTTTTATTTATAAATTTCGAGTATTCAGTTTGCATTGTTAATAAATTAAATATTTTAAATATAATAACTACGAAAAATTATTTTGTGACCATTAAAAAGACTATGAAAAAATGCACGACTTTCACACTGCTCCACCACGTATACCCTCCATTGGTTATGCTGTGCGCTAAACTAACACATTGCTGCGTACCCACGAATAATGCTTCGCCAGATCACAATAAATAATATATTGACTTAAATCGCATTGTCCCTGACTGGTGAGACCAGCCGATACAACACCGCGCAACATCCAGACGCCATTGCGACTCATCATCAAGCCGCCACCTGAATCGCCCATACAAGGACCCGTGCCATCACGATTACCCGCACAAATGGTGCGTGGCGTCGTTAGTTTACTATAGACCTCCGACGAGCGCAGGCACTCGTTGTCGCTGACGATGGACGCATCAACCATTTTCGGTAACGCGGTGACTTCACGACCATTCTCATCGGCACCCCAGCCGGCGACGAACGCTGTTTGACCGACTATAAGCGCATTATCCGCCGATTCGCTCCACAAGCAAATGGGTCGTATAAATTCGCTGAAGCTGTGGAAAGAAAGTTATTATTATTTCCAAAAACAATAATTGAGTCATCACTGAGTGAACTCACCTCACCGCTGACTGCATATGTAGAATAGCAATATCCGCATCTGGCAACGACTTACTGTTATAGTCGGGATGTATCAGCAAATTGCGTATATCACGCGACACAGCGCCGACCTCACCATAATTCTCCAAATTGTGTCGACCCAAGTAGACCACAATCTGTGAGGCACCAATGGACTTGAGCTTAAAGCAATGAGCTGCCGTGATCACCGTATTCGAGGAGACCAATGAGCCGCCGCATAAGAAGCGCAAACCAGAAGACTGTTTTCGATAGACTGCCGCCAACCAAGGGAATTGGCCGCGTGAAATCTGTATGCCACCATGTATGAAGGGTGTAACGGTATTGCCCTCCACACCACAACGCGTATAATCCCTGGCAGGGGTTGCTGGTTCTAGACGTGGCTGTGTGATCCTTGTGCTCACTGCTACAGGTCGGGGGTTTCTGACTTCACTAATCAGCTGTGTTTGTTGTGGGAATCGTTGAACAGTCGGTTGACTTGTTATTGTGTTGGTGTTGGTAGGGAATAATGGACTACGCTCAAAATTGCTATTAAGCGGCAGCGTCGCAGTTACAGTTGATGTTTGTAGTGTGTGTTGTAGATCCAAAGCCGTACTTGGTGGGGGATCTACCAAAACAAAAACGAAAAATGAACGAATGAGATTAAAAAAAATCAAAAAATATATTTCGCTTTTTTGTGAATATTTATTCTGTTCAACAGCAGAGCATTACTCACACTCATCAGCCGCACAAACGGTGACTCCATTGACGTCGATGCGCATCAGCTTTGGCACCACATTAACTAAGGGGAAGTCCACGCGATAGGAAACGGGAAGACCGTTCGCCAAATTGTTAAATGTCGTTTGTTGATCTTCATACAGTGATAAGCGACCGAAGTAATTCTGCAAGTGGAGAAAAAAATATATTTTTTTTTTAATTATTAAACACGCTAACGTAAATGAGATACCTACATATGTATGTGTATATTGCATATTTATAAAGAAAAGAGCATAACAACTTTGCTTGAAACCCTGAATGTATTACAGTGCACCAAAACTTTGTAAGATCTATCCCCAGGACCAGAAGAATTCTACCCATATTCGAATAGAGGATTAAACTAAATCTATGACATTTCAGCGGCCACATTAGCCGAGTAGCTAGTCAGAGTTCGAGTCATGATTTTTTCTTTGTTACTTGGCGATGAATGCACCTAAATGTGTTTTTCTATTTTAGGAAAGTTCATTTTTTTATATGCTTTCCAATAAGTTGTTTTTGTGAACATTCTATTTGCTTATTAAATATGGTTTTTATACGGGGGTTGGCTTTGGGGTGTAAAGATCGAATGAAGTGAAGTTTCTGTCGGCTCGAGTTGTAGCTAGCTCTGTGTACGGGAGACTGACTCTTTAGCCGCAAGATAGTTAGAGATTACACATCATCTCGTTACTGATAATAATAATTGTGGGACTCATTATTAGTTGAAATAGTACAACTCTTGTTTTATAAGGTTCATTAACATTTCGTTCCTGGAACAAGCAACAACACTATGTGAACGGAAACTGCAGCATCGCGCTTTGAATAAATTCCTTGTGAAAAAGGAAGTATGCCGAAAAAAAATTTCAAAGAGATCTCATTAGTTCTTCAGGCCTCTCGCCCCAAGGTGCAAAATAGGCGCGGCGGTTTCAACATGGCAGAGAGACCTGTGCTCGCCCAGTTAAGGTCGTGGTCGCAGAAAAGGTTCACAAAGTCAAAAAATTAGTACAGGCTGATCAAAGAATTAAATTGTGGCAGATAGCAGAAGCATTACAGATTAGCAGAGAATGAGCTGGAGAGATTTTGCATGAACATTTGAATATGAAAAAATTAGTGCGCTTTGGGTACCGCAAATATTCCGAGATGACTCGGATGTGATTGGCAATCACTCTATAAGAGTTGAAGAAACTTAATTTTGTCAGTATGATCCCGAGTCCAAACAGTAGTCGATGCAGTGGATAAACAAAGCAGAAGGCTACCAAAAAAATTCCAGGCAGAAAATGCGGCGTCGAAGATTATGCTACCATTTTCTGAGAAAGCGAGGGAATATTATGAATTGCTTACTTACCAAAGGGAACTACAATGAACGGCCGATATTACGCTAATTGGTTGAGTCAGGCGCAAGAGGCAAGCGTACAGAAGAGACGTGACAGAAGTGCTGCTTCTTCACACCGTTCGGATTGCGGGGCCTGCCTTAATAGCTACTGGATTTACAGTAACTTCCCATTCTCCCTAAAGTTAGGACTTGGCTCCCAGTGACGATTTCCTTTTTATTATAATTCAAAAAAAATAGTTACGGGCAGGAAGATTTTCATATTTTTTTAGTCGTATAAAGGCACGATGGAGAGTATATTTAACTTGAGAAAGACTGTCAGAAGAATCCAAAAAATGCATTTGTTTCATTAAGTACTTTAGGTCCCGAAAAAGTCAGCAGCCCCGGTATATTTTAATTGTCTAAATGGAAGTAATGTATGAGAGTAGATATCCCTTCCTTCTGTTTTTGGTATGACCGAATGGAAATGTTTGGACTAAAAGGGATTGACAGTGCTTGGCGGAGGAGAAAGTAAATATTCACAATGAGCTGTTTCTTTACTGCCAAATTCTTAGCTTGGACTTATACTATCACCAATTGGATTGTTTAAAGGAAGCAATCGCAACAAAGTCCCAGTTTTGGCCAACAGGAGTGGAATAGTATTTCATCAGGACAACGTCAGGCCACACATATCGATAGTTACTCGTCAGAATCACCGAGAGTGTGGTTGGGTGGTTCTTATGTTTCCACCTTAAAGTTCAGGCGCCCCACCAAGCAATTGCCATCTGGTGTTGTAACGGGTGAACCAAGTAGAGTTACTTTTATTAAATTTTTACTTTGTTCAATATAGTCTGGTACTTCATCATGGAAGGATTTACGCCTGTTCAACGTTTAAAAATCGTTCAACTTTATTACGAGAATTCGCGCGTTTCGCTCAATTTATGGTCTACATAATCGGCTTACTGTACTATTCGCAACACCTTCTCCCATATTGAGACCCAACATTCATTATGGGATGATATTCGACCGAAGTGAAGAAAATATAACGACCGTAGCTGAGAGTGTACGAGTACACGAAGACCATGGAAAGTCAATTCGGCGCCGTTCGTAGCAACTCGGAGATCTTAAATTGAAAGTGTACGAAATACAGCTTTTGCAAGAGCTGAAGCCACTCGACCTTCCCAAGCGACGTCCTTTCGATCTATGGGCTCTTCAAAAATTCCAAGAAAATCTGACGTTTTCAAGCCAAATTTTGTTCACCGATAAGGCTCATTCCTTGCCCAATAGATATGTACACAAACACTATTTGCCGCATTTGGGCCTAAGAGCAACCTGAAAAGATTCAAGAGCTGCCATTTTATCAAGAAAGAAAACGGTTTGGGGGGTTGGATTCATCGGTTCATATATTTTTGAAAATTACGCCTGTGAGAACGTAACTTTCAATAGCGACCGTTATCGAAATTGAAGGTCGTGATCTCGGATACAATTGATTTCAACACTTCCCACACATCGCGGATAATTTTACGTTTTGTTCTATTGGTCACCAGGATCGTGTGAATATGTAGAGTCTGAAATCTATGCTAACAATCCCGCCTCTATTCGGACCTTGAAGCAAATTATCACGCATGCCATTGGCCAGTAACCAGTCGAAATGCTAGAAGAAGTCATCGAGAACTCCACTCAACGGATAACCATTTTTGACGTAGCTGTGGAAAAAATTAAAATAAAAGCCAAAAAAGAAACAAACGAAAATAAAAATTCCCATTAAATTTGAAATTTCTGTATTCTTACTTTAAAAAAGTAGAGAACCTCGTACTGTATAATACTTTATATGGCGAATTCTTTCGCTATTGATCACAGGCGAGAAGCCTGTGATTACTAGTTTTCGCCTACATGTACCAAGATTTCTATGAGGTGAAAATGGTAAAAGAAATCTATTGAACCGAACCGTGCATATTTGATTTAAATCGGATAGTTCAAACTATGGTAAAGAAAGCCTTCAGTTAAATTAGAAAACTTATACTTTTTACTAGATTTGGCTAGACGCCACGCCCATCACTAAGTATACCTGCTGATTTAAAAGGAACTTCATTTGGGCTTTCCAAAACTCAAAGTCAAGGTGAGCGTAAAAATAATTTTAACACTTTTTTGTAATGAAACGTCTGTGTTATATCACAAAACTTATGCCATATTAAAGATTGAACTAACGATTCAATTAACAACAAAGTTAGGCAATGCGATGATTATTCAAAGCGTTAAACACGATTAACTATTTATGAATTACGTAAAAAAAATACAAGTTTGGGGCGTGTATTTTCAGAAAAAGAATATAAATAAAATAATATTTACGAATACAATACTCAAATTAATTGGTTTTAATATTAGAATTTCTACATGAGCGCTCTTCTTGTTTTTCTTTTTGAGCCCCCACTTGCAAATCTCAAATTTTTTGCGGTGTTTTTGTATTTCTCTTCATGCTGGTTTTACCAAAACTTTTGCGGATTCATTTATAAAAATAACAGCACATACCTAACTATGTATGTACACACATACATATGTACGCTTGGTTGGAGAAGCATAAACAGTAGAAAAGAATTTATTAAAAAATAAATAAATAATAATAATTCATGACTATTAAACTAATTTAAGATATTTAAAGATAATTTATACTCTTTTATTTCCTTAATTTTATTGACAAAAAATAGGATTAATTAATTCAATTATTTCCTTTTATTTTATTGCTAGATAAGCACCTTTGTCTAGCACTGATTGGCGAAGAGCCAAAAAGAAATCAATAATCAGAATAAAAATATTTTATACCTTTTAGTATTTTCTGATAGAGTAAACCTATAAATTCTCAAGCATTCTCTTGTGGGATCCAAAGAGAGGATCTGGCGACTGATGTTCAGATTTTACTGAATTTATTACGGAAACACTTTCCCAGTCTACTGACCGAGCTAAACAAATATGGCAGCTAAAAACTGACAAGGTGCACATCGGCAGCCTAAAAAGAAGCTGAAGCTTCAACAGGAAGGTAAAGGATTTCTCAATATTATACCTAGTTTTAGACAAGGAACTCTTTATGGTACAACTTCCTTACATTAATGCAAGTCAAAACAATTTGAGCTGCAGAACTGAATGGTGGAATATATTTTAATATATAAAATATTTATTTTAAACAATTTACTGCGTTAAATACATTTAAACGAAAAGGAATTTCTGAAGTTTTCAGAGCAAAATAGTCGTAACTTCGCCATTGTGACATCATTCTCGATGACCCTTCTGACGAAAGATGCGTTGACAGTGGTACTCATAACAGAATCATTTGAAGTGAAAGAAGAGAAACATATTTGTTAGTTCGTTAATACCATAACTAAAATTTGGACTAAGAAAACTAAAAAAAAAATTGAAAATTAAAATTTTGCAAATTTTTTGTTTACAGAAAAATACAAATTTTGGTAAAATTTGCTCAACATTTTTCTATTTTAAATAGTTTTAATTGAAAAACATAGCAAATCTTCGTTCAATTTCTCGCACTTTGTGTTTCGAAGACCAGTGTAAAATTTTATCAAGACTGTTTTCGAGTATATTTGAAAATTGGCATTGAAAATAGACTTTCGAGAAAAATACGATCAAAATTTAATGCGCCGACTTTCATTCGGATCGACTTGAAAATTTGGAATATTACAGTGGAGTTGTTGTAAAAATTAAAAAGGCCATGAAAAAACATCGTTAGAACCAATGTAACCCCTTATCACCCGCGCCTAATGTCCTGTTTTCTGCACACAACACATTGAAGCGAAGCGAATGGGTTTGAAATTGAGCGAGGGCAACATGAAATGCCGCATCTTTGCTCCCACATTAATTTTAATAGTCACAAGTCCTTGAAGTCTTTAAAAATTTCATCCATCGACGAATTAGCATTACTAACAGCAACAATGTCTGCAATGTTGTAATGCAGTGCGGAATCTCTAGCGCCAAGACATCCAATTTTGGACTGCTTTGCCAATTGGAAAGTGAAGTTCTCAAAGTACGGACTTTGTCGACATTCGGTGAGTTCCGAGAGAAACGCTTTACGAACGGCTTATTGACGTTTGCTTATTGGAAACTGCAAACGATTGAACGATGAGTGCGACAACTTTTCGATGTATTATCTGCCGAGGAAATATCATATGGGTAAGTGGCCGACCTCACTTGGTCAGGCATTTATGTATTTACGTTTCGGTCTTTAAGTAGAGGTTATGGTGCATATAATCGTGGAACTACTGAATTTTTTAAAGAGCTTTAAAAGCAATGGAACGGTCGCAGATATTTTAATGCTTGCTTATACTCGTCTTACTTGTTCCTCTTCAAATATAACTAATGCAAGTGAAAGTTTAGCCAAAGACTTAAATGTGTCTGTTTCTAATACATTCGTACGGCATATAATAGCAGTTCGCAATAGGCCTTACATCCATATAGAGTCCAGCTCACATAACAACCGAAGCAAGCTGTCCACTCACAATGTCGTATGTGCGTCGATCGGGTGCTTTAACAAAGAATAGTCGAACAGTGATTTTTTGAACAAAATTTTCTCCAGCTACATTTCACACTCGAGGCTACGTAAATAAGCAAAATTGTCGCAGTTGGGAAGCCGAGAATCCTCAAGTAATTAAAGAGAAGCAATTAAACTAGAGAAAAAACATACTATCTGCTGCACTCTCTGGTGTGGTTGTGTCAAGGGACTTTACTTCTTTAAAAACGGGGATACTGTCGCTGTCAATGCGGAGCGTTGTGGTTGAAGAACACTGTTTCGATAATATATATGCTTTCAACAAGATGATGCCACATGTCACTCAACGCGATTGAACTGGTTTTTCTCTAGTTGTGATAATGTCAATTGGCCACCTAGATCGGGCGATGCGACACCGCTGAACTTTTTTTGTGGAGCGACACGAAAGTTTGTGTTTATGCGGATAAATCCTCAACTTTTGAGCGACTTGAAAATCGACATTTGTCAAGTTATGCCGACTATTCCGCTCAATATGTGCCAAAAAGTGCTCGAAAATTACCACTCGGCAATTTTATTTAAAATACATTTTATTAACATTTTCTTACGAAACAGCGAAATGCATAACTCTCTATATATCTATATATTCTATTATATTATATATAATATTAACCGATTTAACTTTATGATTTATGATTTCGGAATAGACTTAAACCATAAGCGCACTCCTTTCCATTTATTTTTTCTACTTTGCACATAACTCACCGATTGTACGGGATATCTCTGGGAGAAGCGTACATCCAAGCGCGATTTACCCAGTGGTATATTGGGCAGTGTGATCCGTCCGATATATTGATTGCCGGTATTGAGATATTGAAAATAATTTGGACACGGAATGGCTGGTATTTCCTGTGCATGTGTGATGATTGATTGGCGCCATAATGCACAGAAGAAAAGTAGAAAAGTGGAAAAGGTGATGCGCAATAAATCGGTTAACATTGCTCAATGCGCTTTATCTCATATATGTATATATATATATGCTTATTAGGTTTTTTTTTTTGCACGCTTTTGGCTTTTTGGTATGTTACTATTAAATATCACTAGTTTACACTGACTTTTCCAATATTTTTGTAACAGATTATTTATTTAAATATATTAATTAATTTAAATAATTATTTTATTATTATATGCCTGAGTTTGATTTTAGAGATTTTAATTCTCGTTTATATACACCACATTCGTAGAATTAATACTTTATTTGAAATGCGTTTTCCGCTTTTATTTTTATATATACGTGTATATTAATTTTTGCGTCGCACTGTCACGTACAGCTTAACATCTTCGGTATATAGTCCGCGTCACTTCTCTTGCATCTCATCACTTTGAGCATCGCGCGCTAAGTGACAGCCGGCTAAACGCTAAACCCTGAAAGCAAATTCGATATATCGTATGTATGGATGTATGTATGTATGTATATATGTTAACAGCGGCAGCAGCTACATTTGTACACATATATATATATATATATATATCGGTATTGTATCTCAAGCATATTATAAATATTTATTGTGGTTATTAGTTTTTTGTCGTCATTGCTGTACAGGAAATTTCACAGCAGCACTTACATACATACATACTTACGGTAATGAAGCATGAATCTTCGAGATTTTTGATGGTATTTCTTAAATGAAAAAAAGAAACTGCTTAAAAAATAAAAAAAAAAAATAAAAATTTTAGCAACTATTGTACTTAGCGAACACTTCAACTGGAATTTCTTAAAAAAATTTAAAATATTATATATGTATGTGAACATATTTGCTAGACCAGAAGTGACTATACAATTTTGTTGGTATTCTTTCTTTTTTATATTTCTTTTTGTGCAAACAAAACGTGCTGCTTATTTTTTTTCTTTTTTTTCTTTTTTTTTTTTTGCTTGAATTCAATGAGATGCTGTTCGTTAATAATGATCGTTAATGAGTAACCGTTCAAATCGTTTGATCGCCAACAGCTGATTTTGAGTAATAAAACGTGTCTTGCCTATTATTTTGTTCAGGTGCGGAGAGAGAGAGAGGAGAGAGAGAGAGAGAGTAAGCGTAAATGCGCCAGCAGTATTATGATTATTATCACCATAATAATAGCTCTTTAAATATAAATATATATATTTTTTTAAAGCTTCACACTTACGCTCGTTTACAGGGCGTGAAATTTATTTGACATAATAAGGCATTGTGTTTCACAGTAACCGGTTTTTATGCCCAAATATACGATTTTTGCGAGGTATATTCAGTTTGTTCATGGAGTGAAGTGGTTGAATGATAATTCTGTTTCCTCTCCTCATCATAATCTATATTGCAAATTAACTTTTATCACGTATATCTCATCGTTATCTAAGACTTTTCACTATTTTTTGGTAGTTTCTTAAATAAATCAAGGAATAATTTTTATGATTTATCGGTGAAGAATTTTTTCAAATGATTTTCAGCAGCTCTTCGGTTCGCCAATTTTTTCAGCTTCAAGGGGTAGGTCTCGAAACTTCAAAAATTCATTTTTGTGACAATTTTTTTTATAAAAGTACAAAGTATCAGGAATATTTTCGTCAAGTTTCGAGGCGATCGAGACGAAACTGTAGAAATTAGAGAGTTCTATAACCCACCGTCTTTGTCATGGCTTGACCGATGATAAAATTCTAAACTTGTTTAACTTAAAAAATAGAAATCGGTAGTAAAAATTTCTCAACGACTATTGAAGCATGGTTTTGTAGTCCCTAAAGGAAAAATTCATTTTATCTTTGATTTCAACTCATTTATAAGCCAAAATATGTGGTCTAATTTCATGCAAAAAAAAAACAAGTCAGGGACAAAGAAAATTTACCTGTTTGAAGAAAAATATTGCATTTTTGATTTCAGATAAAAATTGAAAAACTTATAATGACTACCGCGAAAGCACTCTCATGTGGACGGTCTACTTCACGATACTGCCAACGCCTCAACTTATGCTATTTATCATTGAAATTTTCATCAAATGTTATCCACATATTGTACTTTTATATGTTAACAAAATAAGTTGTATACTTTATTTGGTATCTTTTAAAAAAAAATTAGATAAAACTCGCATTCAAATGACCGGCTCAAGTGGGCGGTACCTCAGATATCAATTGGCAAACCAAGTATTCAAGACTTGAAAGTTTAGCAGCATTCACACGATCTTTCGTGTAGCCCTACAGAAAAGAAAAACAATTGTTTCATCTTATGATATCAGTAGCTAAAGACGAGAGACAAGGGAATACAAGCCAGGAAATTTTTCTTGCAATAAAGCCATGCTCGCTGGTGTTTTGATTCATGTGGCACAAAGTCGTTTTTAGGCGAGTTTTAACGCGATCATAACACGAGTTGAAAGTCGACCGTTGGCGATCACAAAGGAGTAAAATCCAATCACACCTCTGGACAAAAGAGCGCAGCAGAGAGTACCTTTATTGGCTGTAATGTCTTCTCTTTATTCCGTATGTACCGCGGCTTTTTTCGAAAAAAAGAAGGACGAAAGGCGGTTGATAAGTTGGCGGCCTAAATTACTTAATGAAAAATTTATAGTTTCATGCTTTTTATTTTTCAATATTGTCCCCCTCAATTGAAGTTCACATCGTTAACCACTGAAAAAATATTCTTTAGATTTCTCTTCAAAAAGATTTTCTACGGCCACTTTTTATGTAAACAATGGAAAGAGCCCAGTGGCTGCCAGGTACGGACCACAGGGTGGTCGGGAAGTTTCTGCAAGTCCAGTACTTTTTAAAACATGTTCCGCAATCCGAGCAGTGTGAAGAAGCAGCACTTCTGCCACGTCTCTTCTGTACGCTTGGCTCATGCGCCAATTAGAGTAATATCGGCCGTTCATTGTAGTTCCCTTTGGCAAGTAATCAATTAATAATGTTTCCTCGTTATCGCAGAAATTGGCAACCACAATCTTCAACGCCGACTTGTCTTCTTAGAATTTTTTTGGTGGCCTTCCGCTTTGTTTTATCCACTGCAACGACTCTTGTTAAGACTCGGAATCATACTGACAAAATCAATTTTCTTCAACTCTTACAATGTGGTTGCAAATTTCATCCGAGTCATCTCGGCACAGCTTCAAAAAATCTTTATAACTCTCCAATCGTCGCTGCTTGTCGAGCGGCGTTAATATTCGCGGTACCCAAAGCGCACTATTTTTTTTTCATATTCAAATGTTCATGCAAAATCTCTTCAGTTTGTTTTCTGCCAATCTGTAATGCTTCTGCTATCTGCCACAATTTAGTTCTTCGATCAGCCCGTGCTAATTTTTTGACTTTCTGAATATTTTCTTCGGTCACGACCGTCTTGCTGAAATAGCCGAGCCCATTTTATCACCAAGTTATTTGCAGGGGCAGAGTACTGAAGAACCGAAGAACTGCACTTCCACTCACAGTAGTGATATTTGAGGTAGAACGAGTAAAACAAAGATGCAAGAGCCTTATAAAGTCTATAAATGATCCTGTGTTTTTAAGTTTATTTAAAACTGTACCAGCTGCTTGAGTAGCTGCGCTGTTACGTGCCCTAGGGTCTTCTCATAAAGTACGAAATGTGTCCACGATTGTTGAATCAGCATTTCAAAAATAAATTTTAGCAATTCTAATGCGTGCCATTCTCATAAATTCTTGACTTTTAAAGAAAACAAAACATTTTTGGTGAGGCAGTTAAGTTTGACAGATGTCAAAATACAGTCCTGTACTTTCGAAACCCCTAAATGGGTTGTTAAATATATATAATCTGGTGTTGGCCTGATGAATCACAGCACTGTTTCCATAGTTCGATTTTGGATGCAAAATTCGTTCTCCTAATTTTAACAGCCCAGTACAACCACATACTTCGCACCAGCTTGTTTTCCGCCAATTCAGTAGTTTGTGAAGTCTTTTACATTTCCAGTTTCCGCATACTCGTATAACCCGTTTCCCGGAAGACGTCATAAGATTTGATTCGATTTTTTCGCTGTCCACGATCCATCAATTTCTTTACATTTACTCTTGTGGCACCTAAATTTCAGAGATGCTTTATGCATCCACAAACTCTTGTCAGTTTGCCTGGTGATTTCGCTCCACTAGAAGAAGAATTTCGGGGGCTTTTTGAGTGGATGGCCGACCAGAACGAGTTGTAAGTATTAAAATATCCAGAAACGGTTTGAGCAAACTACTCTTGGTCTTGAGTTCAGCGTACACATCCATCATTCTCCTTGTAAGCCACACACATTTTTCGGCACATTCTTGCAAGGATTTTAAGTTTTTTGTATCAACACGTTTTTTCGTAAATGTCACTAATTTCATAATCGAAATTTCGTGAGCCGTTTGGAGGAGGCTTAGTATATGCTGTAGGTATATGTATATATATATATATATATATCAGAACTCTTCTGCCTTTGGAATCGACATCAAATACTGTAGGCAGTAATCAATCGCACTCAACCAAAGCTGCTTTCATTGGAAATTCATGTACTCAAAATGGCTGATGTAGATACATAAATAGACCTAGTTCTTGTACAAGAGATTTTCTAAATATCAGGCGACTAACGAGAAGTGAGAGTAGCAAGATATGGGAGAGTCTGACTTATGTCTCCTTAAATTTTTATTAGTGCTTTCGTTGAACCAGAATAAAATGCAAACTTCCCTGATGTTGGTCGCACGGGGATTTGAGCCCGAGCCTTCCAAATGGCAGTAGGCATTGCTAACCACTCGGCTACTGCGGTCGCCGAACTTCCATAACACCCCCCTAAAAAAAAGGTATTTTCGTTTGTAATCGTTTTTTTTAAGAACTTTATTAGAAAATGTGGTAAAAAATTATGAACTTCTATTCCAAGAGATTCTGCATCACCCAACTCATATACTTCGCGGCATCACAATAGACTACATACTCATATAAATTACAGCGCTGCCGCGATGATTGACCTACAGATACAATACCACGTAACACCCAACGACCGTTGCGCTGCATCATCAGCGCACCACCGGAATCGCCCATACAAGGACCGGTACCGTCACGGTTACCGGCACAAATCGTATAATCGGTGATGAGTGGTTGAAATGCAGCAGACGAACGGAGGCAATCGTCTTTGCTCACAATATTGACATCGACCATTTTGGGTAAAGGCGATATATCCTTATTCTTCTCGCCCTCATAGCCCCAACCGACAACAGTGGCAGTCTTGCCGACAATAAGTGAATTCTCAACAACTTCACTCCACAAGCAAATCGGTTTTATGTACTCGGAGAAACTGAAACGAAGAAAGAGAGAGAGTTAGTGAAAGAGACTAGGAGAAATGCATGCTGCCAGTATGCTGTCTTACGTTTCTAACGCTTCAATTTCCAACAGCGCTATATCGGCATTCGGCTTGTCATTGGCGTAATCTGGGTGTATAATCATTTTATTGACATCGCGCGCCACAACACCCTCCTCGCTGTAGCTGTCAAGATCGTGTCGACCGAGAAAAAGTACAATTTGTGTCGACTGCAGCCGTTTGAAGCAGTGTGCGGCCGAAATAACGGTACGCCGAGAAATCAACGAGCCTCCACATATAAAATTCAAAGCATCCGTGTCCTTTCTATAAATCGCTGTAAGCCAAGGGAACTGACCACGCAACACCTCAATGCCACCATACACAAAGCCACGTATAACACTGCCTTCTCTGCCACAAATCCCTTCCAGATTCACACTCGAAGTGTCTACATTTGTTTTTGTATTGATATTGAATGTGGGCTTTGGCGTCGTTTGTGCGAGCTCGGCTGTTGGTGTATCAAATTTGGTACTTGGCGTCGTTAAGGGCACATTTGGGCTGGGATTTGAAATAGTTTGTGTGTATGGCGGCCGATGGTTGTGTGTTGGTTGTAACGGTTGATTGGTTTGGTACTGTGTTGTGGTGGTGTGATAATTTGGTCTCGGGCCTAATTCAACCGGTTGGAGGCTGGTAGGCACATTTGGACCCGCTAAGCTATTACCACCTGTGTAAAAGGTGTAGAGTTGGTAGGAAAGTTTAGACCAGGTTTTTGGTCGAGGATCTGAGGAACAGAAAATTCAAAGAAATTAAATTAATTTGCGGTAGTTGAGACATCTTTTGTTTGTCATAAGTCTGCGGTGGTTAAGAATGCAGCAACGTAAAGTACATTTTTCTCGCTCATCAAGAGATTCCCGCTTTGATGCTCCTTTAATTGCTCTACTAGTTTTTAAGTGTCTTCAAGCACAATGATAAATTAAATTTTTTAATAATTTTTAATACTTTTTATACTCACAATCAGAACCGGTGCACAATTCATTGCCATCCAGTGAAAGGTAGGTTAGTTTCGGCGGATTATTGGGAGTCGCGAAGTCCACACGAAAAGTTGCTGGTTGACGATTCAAAACATTACGAACGACCGTAATCTCATCGGGGTGAGGAGTGATACGGCCATAATAGCTCTAAGAAAATTTTAAAAACACAAAAAAATAATTAAAAACGAAAATAAGTGAAATTTAATTCATTTAAATTTATAAATAAAAGGCATATAATGAAAGTTCTGCAAACTCTCTTCTGTGGAACACACTCTTCGTCGTTTAAAAGGGCAGGATCTGCTCTATTCAACACACCACATGAAACACACTTCAAGGAGCCGTTTTATCGCCACCTCTGAACTTCACTTCTGTGGAGTCTCACAGTGAGCACACTAATTCAGAAACTGAACGGCTCGGCTTGTAGTGAAGCAGTATACGTTGACGAAATTGATCAAAATCTGGTAGGAAAACAGCCTCACATTCTTGAAATCGAGTTATGCGTTGTGGTAAACGGATACAAGAATCAATGTCTGGATGTGAACCCAGCTAAAAATGGACCATATCTGTGTCGCCGGATATATTGTACAACTCATCGTATCACTGGCTCCAGCATTGGCGGCTCGCAACACGTAGAGGCCCCGTAAATTTTGCGAAAAAACCTTTCTCTCGAATATGTCCTAACGTCGTAGAAGGACGGCAATTATGAGAGACTTGTAGAATTTGGTCTTTGATAGCCTAGACAAACATGATTCTATTTAAAATTTCCAAGCTCACATTGTTTTTTATGTTAATGCTTGTTTTACGATATACGGATTAATCTGCGACTGGTCTAGAGTTTTGAAATAATCGAAAACAATGGATACCGGCAAAAATGTCTAAATGCCCAAATTTTTCATACGACGGCAGTGCCTCGCAGGTATGCCCCGAGCGACCTACAACTTTGAGCGCGTTTTTCTCGAAATTACTTCTTTTAAACTGGCCGAAGACATAACTCGAACAAACACTCGAACACCGATTCTTACGAAATTTTGACAGTGCATTCGAAACTCAAACCCAACTGCAGTCAAAACACGAAGGCTAGGCATAACTGCATTTTTTGCTTGCAATGCAACCAATGTCATGAGATGGGCTTAAAACCGAATATTATCTACAATAGACATACGTAACATATGTACATACACTACCATCCTATTCTATCGCATTTGGCACTCAAAAAATTACTTTAAGTAGTAAAGTTACTCCAGGATTTTAGAAAACGCAATTTTCTTTTTCTTTTTGCTCAGAGGGTACCTTTGGTTCCTAGAAGTGATGTGCAATTGGTTTTAAAATATAATATTTCCAATAGTTGAATTATTTATTTTACTGCAGCATCTCATGGCGTTCGCCCTTCAAAAAAACATGGATTAAATGATGGACTTTATCACCGTCATTTTCTAAAAAAATAATAATTACTAAAGAATATTTATTTTAAACTCCAATATATGTTCAATGAAATAGTTAAATATAAATTCCATTCCTTTTTCCATATTCCCACAATAAATTTTTAACAATGAGTCTATTTTACAACCTCTAGACTGGCTTTACCCCTTAAGTAAATTACAGATGTTTTATTAATCTTCAGTCATCTCATCTTAGGAGCGCTACAATCTACTTCTTCAAAATCTCTGGAGATTTATTAAAATTTATTCCAACTTGATCTGTAGGTCAAACTTCAAGCGATCTTTAACTCAGAGTGCTAACGCAATTTAGCTTAGAGAAAATCGTGGTGTAAGGACAAGCCCAAATTTGAGCTCACGCAGAGTTTGCCAAGGATCAGGACTTCACCAACTTCAGCTTATGTTTATACAGTCTTTTTTCCACAAAAATAGAAGAGTTTGGCTAAAAACTCGCTGCTGGGTAGGCTATGGAATCCAATTAGTTTCAGGCCACTTATTATTATAGGACTTACAGTGTCTTCAAATCAGAATTGATTTCAATCGTGAAATCCTCCGAAGTGCTGCTCAACTCTTAAATCGCAAGATAATAAATTGCTATATATTCTGAGAGTCCAACTATTGTCAGAACTCTTTAATGTACTAACACAATGTCAAAAGTTTTGATGAAATGTAGAAGTATTCTAAACCAGCTCTGGAACAAATACACCACACTCGGGATCTGGGTGCCGGTACTTAGAGATATTCTGCTGTCTACGAAAAAAAAGATAAATCTTGGTTTGGTATCCAAAAAACAAGGCATCAATTCAACTATTTAATGAATAATAATCCAACTATCGCATAAATCAAGGGACATACAAGTATATTAGTGTAAGAATTCGGTGGGCCGAAGAAATGGCCATTGAGATAATACGGAAAATTTGCTTTTAACCTACGGCCCGGTTCCATTCGTTTGTACTACCTTATGGACTTGATTAGATCGTATACCTTAGCTTCTGCCAATTGCCAATTGCAAATACAATCCGTAAAGTCAAGTTCAAAATGATGAAGTCTAAATCTGCTAAGAGCAAGGCAATCATTTAATAGGAGAACTTTCAGAGAGGAAGCGTCATACATGCCGCCTTTAAATAAAATTCAGAAAGGAACCCGTCTCTAGACATTTTTTATGCTGTTCTATAGTGCGCTGTCCCGCCAGGACTCCAATTATCTTCGAAAAGTCCACCTTTTTCAGAGAACATAAACTATTCGGTCTTCGCCCGCTCCGTTTTGGGAAAGTTTTCCTCGAATTTTTTTATTATCACGAGCTGAACACATTCTGATTGATCCAATATCATAAAAAATACTATATTTTTGGGTTATAAACTAATACGTAAAGAAGCTTAAGTGTATAGTCTTCCGAATTTGATTCAATTTTAGAACATTATTCAGACATTCAACATTGCGATCGCAATATATGGGAATTTGGAGGGCCAAGGTTGGATTCCATTCAAAATTACAAAATTATAGTAAATGAATCTTTAAAGAATTGCCAAGGCCTCCGAGTATATTTTTAACAGAAAATAAAAGCTCCTCCTTTAAAACTTTTTGGAGCCGGCTCGGTATAATCTTTTTTAGGTCCCTCTATTTGTTGGAAAGAACAGGAAGATGAACACCGTAAAGCGCTGGCTGAGCTCGGCCAAAAATTGCTCCAGCGTTTACAAAGCAACAAATATATTAAATCTGTTTTTTAATTTGCTGAAGAACTTCCAAAAATTACCTGGACTACCTCCTCCGGCGACGCGTATTTTGCATTATTAATTTATTAATACAATAAAATTTAAGTGCTTTTTTTAACTTCAACACAAAAATAATTGATATCAATTACAAAAACAAAAGCAAAACTTTTATACTCATACATATATATATATATATGTATGTAATAATAATTACTTTTTGACGCACTTTAGGGAATTTCATTAAAAAAGATCTCACCCACCGAAACCACAGCTCAAATTTCACGCGGTAGATTGATTTGTTTTCGTTTGTTATTGTAATTCACTCTTTCTCTGGGTTTTTTTTTGAATTTCTCATTAGTGATTAACAACACTCCTACTCACCGACGTGGGTAGCCCGCGTTGCGAGAAGTGCGCACGCACCTCTGCCGTGCCCACAGCCACTTGCGGCAGTGTGATCAAGCCATAGTAGGTAAGGCCGTCGCTCACATACTGAAAATACTGCGGACAGGCGATGGGTGGGAGTGGCTGTTGTGCGGTCACAACGTAGCTTAGAAGCGTCCAAATGCTGCTGCCTATGAAGATGACTGTGTGTAGATTCGCAGCGTACGTGTACATGTTGAGCTGGTAACAAAAAAAAATAATTAACGATTTTACAAAACTTCTGTCGGAGAGCACAGATCGCAACAAAGTCTTACCGGCAGAGTGTACGGTGAATAAGTATGGATCGTTGAATCTTACTCAGCTCTCTCGCTTGTGTTCACTGCACCGCGTTGCTTATCTGTTTATTTTCAGTTGAACTTTTGTTTATTTTCTCTCCGCTAACAAGTCCCTCAATGTTGATTGTTACACTTGAAAGATGCTGGGGAATACCTGGCTTTTGATATGTACTTGAGAAGCCGCACAATTGCTGCTATTCTGGTATACTTGTATTATGGAACTGGACGCAATGACTTGAGCGCAACGAATGGCAACTCGTGTGAGATTTACATATGGCTTGAGCTAAATTTTTGTTGTGAATTTCATAGTGAGCACTGCAGCGGAGATTACGATGTGACGAAGGCGGTATTTCGGTTTGAGCTTAGCTGAAGCAGGTGTTACTCAGGAATATGTGTTGGCTGATGATGATTGGAAATCTTAGCTCTTGCTGTAAAAGAACAATGAAGCGTTGAAACGAAAGCGCAAAATGTAGTCAGCGTAATTCATTTTGTAATCGAGTTTGGCGCAATCTAGTATTGTGTGAGTATATTTTGTGTTATTTTTTTTCTATTTCAACTTATCTTATTTTATTTTAATATTTAAGTTAATTTTATTTAATTTAATTTATATTATTATATTTTGTTTGTTTAATTTTACTTAATTTGATTTAATTCGAATAAATATAACATACTTTCAATTTGGATCCCTTAATTCAATTTGATTTCATTTTAATGTAAATTATTTTCATTAATTTGATTTTATTGTATATCATTTAATATTACTATACTTTGTATTAGTTTATTTTATTACTTTAGTTTATTTAATTTAATTTATTTTATTTTTTTTTATTTTCTTTCTTGTTTGTTTTATTTTACTTAATTTAATTTATTTTGACTTTAAATTTATTATTTAATTTTATATAATTTTAATTTATTGTTTGTTTTGTTGTATTTAATTTTAATTTAATATACATTAAATTAATTTATTTTAATTTTAGTTTGTTTTATTGAATATAATTAAATTTTATCTTATTTTAGTTTTTTTATTTTTATTTTATTTTAAGTAATTGTATTTGTTTTCTCTCTTCTCATCATATTTAATTGTATTTCATTTATTTTATTTTTTCTTTTTTTATATTTTTTTTTCGGCCGCGGTACCCGAGTGGTTAACATTGCGTACTGACATTCGGAAGGCTCAGGTTCTCAGCCCGGTGCTAACAGGTCCTCCATTTGGTGGAAAAACATCAAGCCGCAAAACCACATATTGGAAGAGGAGCCTCGGCCGAAAAATCGTTACAGCGGTTGCAAATCGCCAATTATTTAATATATATATAATTTAATTAGTTTTATACTTGCTAATTTCGTTTTCCTTTTTATTATTTTATATTACTTAAGTTAATTTAATTTTTTTAATTTAATTTTTATTTTACTTTATTTTATTTTTTAGGTTATTTAAATTAATTTAATAATTTTAATTTTATTTGATTTTTGATTTTCGTTTATTTTATATTGATTAATTTAATCAAACTAATATAATTAAGTCTTATTTTAATTAATATTATTTAATTTAGTTTTGATTTATTTAATTTCGTATAAATTATATTTATTTGATTTTTGATTTTGGATTATTTTATTTTTATTAATTCAGTTAAACTAGTTTTATTTAGTTTTATTTTGCTTAATATTATTTTATTTGGTTTGTCTTATTTAATTTAATTTAATATAATTTAATTTAATTTTATTTTATTTATTTTTATTTTATTTTATTTTATTTTATTTTATTTTATTTTATTTTATTTTATTTTATTTTATTTTATTTTATTTTATTTTATTTTATTTTATTTTTTTTTTTTAATTTTATTTGATTTTTATTATGTTTTATTATATTTTAATTTTTTTATTGTACTTCATTTTATATTATTTATATTTTTTTATTTATTTAAATTTTTTTATTTAATTTTACTTATTTCTTATTATTTTGTATTTTTTAGTAATGAAATGAGGTTAATGGGATTATAACCTGAACAGTTGATAAACCCGTGTGCAAGATTTGGTTTCCTATTGCACAGCTGGATAATAGTATATATATATATATATACTGTACTATATATATATATATATTCATGGATAACTGACCGTAATTATAAATTGCACATTTATGAATAAATTTCTCCCATTTCGATTGATAAATAAACTGGAATTTCCCAGCTTCGAGTAGTTGCTTTTTGTTCTTGCGATGCATCGCTTTGCAAAAAAAAAAACACCATACCTTGCCTTAGCTGTTAACAATTCAATTGAAATTGTAAGCAATAGGAATTAAAATAATTTATTTAATATGTGACAGCTTTATGAATTATTTAAGTGTATTCATTTGAGATGGGTACGTAATCCCTTAAGCTGTTGTAATACAAATACAATTTCAAAAATGCTAACAAATGACAAGTTTTAAAAGAAAAATAAATGCATTGTCTAAAAATATCATCCTGTAATTATTTTATTTCATATTTGCGCCTCGTTTACATATTATCCTCGAGCCAATTTAAGTGTTGTGCCACATCTACATATACGACATATTCATGTAAATTACATTGACCCCGATTTGTTTGGCCAAATGACACTATGCCGCGCAGCATCCAACGATTGTTGCGTTGCAACACTAAACCGCTACCCGAATCGCCCATACAGGGCCCAACACCATCACGATTTCCAGCGCAGAATGCTCGACTTGTCACGAGCTTAGAGAAAACCGCCGAGGAGCGTATACAATCCACTTCGCTGACGATTTCCACATCTGCTCTCTTGGCGATCGGTGAGACGAGTTGACCATTCTCATTCGAACCCCAACCGGCTACAGAGCCCTTCAGGCCAACTATTCGTGAGATGTGCGTTGATTCGGTCCATAGGCAAATGGGACGAATGTAATCGGTAAAGCTGGGAGTTAAGAGAAAAGAAAGACCAAAATTCAACTAGATTTTTTTTTTAAATATTTTTTTATATTATATATTTATTTTGTTTACTATATTAGAAGACGAAACTTCGCTGCTGCTGTGCTACTGTTTGGATGACCAAAAAAATATACCAAAGAGTTGAAATGCAGTTGCCCAGCAGCAGAGAATACCAAACCTTCGAAATGTATTGTTTAAATATTATTGGCTTTCTTTAGAACTTCTTCGGTGGCCTCCACAAAACAAGATTTATAAGAATGGATTTTTTAAAAATTCCCCACTTTAAGTCAAATGGTATCTACTTCCTACAAAGAGGGAATAAGTCACAAGTAAAATTGCAAGATGAAGAGCTTGGAGAGCTTTTCGACACAAACTCTTTCTTGGGATAAATCTCTCACAATCTCTTTTGACCTTGTAGCATGGATTGAGCCTGGTTTCAGATTTTGGCGATTCCTTTGTCTTTCAATCATTAGTTAAACCCCACTTGAACAAATTCACTCACCTGCCAATAGCCGCCATGTGCAACACAGCTATATCCGCATCTGGTAGATTATTATAGTCCGGATGTATAACCAAACGTTCAACATCACGCGTGATGAAACCATCCTCACTGAAACTCTCCAAATTTGTGCGTCCGAGGAAGAGAGCTACCTTCATGGCAGGCAAATTGTTGAAACAATGAGCGGCTGAGACGACACTTTTCGCCGACAACAAAGTACCACCACAAATGTATGACAGACTATGAACCGTCTCTTTGCGATAGACCGCAGCCATCCAAGGAAATTGTCCGCGTATCAACTCTTTGCCACCATGTAGAAATGGACGAAGAACACTGCCCTCAGTACCGCAGGTGATGGTGGTGTTCTGTTGGAAACGCTGTGTGAGAAAGATGTTTGAAAACTTTTGCGGTGGTGGTATGGCTGCCGTTTCCGTTGGCAGGCCGACTGCTGGCGCTGAGGTAAAATAGGTGCTGGCCTTTGTCGGACGCGTGGTGTAGCGTGTAGTATGTGTATGTTCTTGTGTTGTTGGTGCTGTAGGTGCTGTAGCGGGGGCGGATGCTGGCGCTTGTGGTCGGCCACCAGCGCTGTGAGCATTCACCGTGTAAGTGAGCTCAAACCAGCTGCTCGGCGCTGAATCTGCAGGATGGTTAGCAATGTGTATTAGTTTATGATTATTTACTCTTTATTTTTTCTTTTTTTACATACAAGCTGGTCCGGTGCAAAGCACATTGCTATTAATGCTGAGCTTTGTTAATTTCGGTGGTCTACTGGGGTTCGGAAAGTGTACACGAAACAGCACCGGCATACGGTTCACTTGTAGTTGTCCATCCGGGTAGGGGGTAATGGTGCCGTAGTAGTTCTATGAAGTAAACAAATTATACAGAAACATTCCGTTAGTACATACATACACAGATCAGATAATGTTTTTTATTTATGTTTGCTTGGAAGCAGAATTCATTTCGAGGCTGACAGGAAAATAAAACCAAAAAGTTCAGGCAACCGTCTAAAATGGAAAAGTTTACTCAAACTGGTAGCCGTACGGAGGCGGCTTAATATAAGCTGTAGGTCCCTCCATTTGTTAGAAAGAAAAAAAAATTGGAGAAAAATCTCGGCCGAAAAATCGCTTCAGCGGCGATGAATTTTGTGGTTCCCTACTTTTTTAAGAAAAAAACGTAGAAGGTCTCGGAAGGTCCATCCGTTGAGTTCAATTTTCGATGACGTCGAGCATTTCGACTGGTAACTGACGAATAACAAACATGGTACTTTGTTCCAAAGCCTGAATCGAAGCGGATTTGTTCGCACAGTCTTGTATTAGACTTGGCATATCCCCTCACCAAAAGGTTTAACGGTGTTATAACACACGATCTTTGAGGCCAATCGACCGGCCCAAAATGTGAAATTATCTGCTCACTCAAGTTTTCTCTCAATAAATCCATTGATTGAAGCATCTACTTGTTCAAACAAAATACCGCCGAGATCACGAGCTTCAACTTCATGCATCAAATAGTCGGTTTTCATTGCGCATAAACAGTCGTCATTGATGGTTACGTTTTCACCGGCACCATTTTTGAAGAAGTATGGACCGATGACTCCACTGGCTCACAGACCACACCAAACCGTTGTGTTTCCTGCATGAAATGACAGTTTTTTTAATATCTCTATGTTCTAAATGCTGCAAATTTTTCTTGCCTATATACCCGTTGCGCCAGTAATGGGTGTCAGCGCTGAATAAAATTTTTCTCGAATACGTCGGATCTTCTTCAAACTCATCAAGAGCTCATAGAGCGAAGCGATGCCGCAATAAAGTTGAACGATTAGTAAACGCTAACAGACTTAAGTCTTTTTACGATGAAATACCAAACAATACTGAACAAAAATAACAACACGACTCAGTAGAGCAGAGTTTCAAAAAAGACTCAAACGAATACAAGCGCCATCGGGCTCAACAGTTGTGTCCATCTACTTTATGGCATCTTTCCGGAAAGATCTTGCTCTCAGGCTAACATAGGTCCAACTCGTGCAAGAATTGAAGCCGAACACACTCCAAGTTAGTTGCGTCCTCCGTCGACCAAAACGGTTCAGGTTTTGAAGAGAAAATTTTGTTCAGTGATGAAGGCCACTATTGATTAGCTACGTGATGTAGAATACGAAATTGTTGCATCTATGTTGACAGAAGGAATCACTGGTGTATATTTGATCAAAAAAGAGGCCAGCCGTATTGTTACTGTCAATTTGGAATGAGATAGTGGCAAGAGTAATGGCTTTTCCTTGTTGGTATTGTAGAATATTGAAGTGGACGACCTTTGGTTCTAAGCCGCAAAAAGAAAACAATCAATTTCTTTAAGGAAACTTTTGGTCGCGTCGTGGACCTGAGACAAGCTGTTACATTCTAACAGTACTGGACTATTTTTGTGGTGTTACTTGAGTCGCTTGTCTACACAGATGAGCTTGAGACGATTGACGGCTTGGAAGATAATAATCGACGTGTTGTTGCTGACTTACGGCACCAACTGCTGCAAAAAGTGGTCGAAAAGTGGACCTCTCTGCTTACGAGCCAGACACAGCGGACATTTGTTGGAAATTATTTTTAAAATGTAATGGCAAACCGTTATATTTATAGTAAAACCAAATTCCTGGCTAAAACATTAAACTAAATGCGTTTTCTTTGCCCTTTGCCTTAAAAGAACACTTTATAAAAAATAAAAATCATAATAATAAAATATGAGAAAAACTTCAAAAAAAAAATAAATAAAAAATATTTGTAATTTTTTAAGTTAGAAAAATTATTTTTAAACCACATCTGCGTAGAATGTGTCGTAAGGCTGGTCGTAAAGCGCTATTTTCCACAGAAGAATCATTTTTGATATTGCATGACATACATATATACAATACTTTCTAGGCAAATAAATAGTTCACGATACAGGAAAACATTAAAATTTTCTAAACTAAATGCCATTAAATTAAAAAACAAATTTGAGAAATAATAAGTTTTTATTTAATTTAATTTATAAAGTAATAAATGGAAATAAAATATTAAATAGTCTACCAGCAGTCGCTGTCTTGAAAATTTATTTTTAATTAATTAGTTATACTTTAATGAAAATCAGAATTGTTTTAATTTTTTTTCTTTGTTTTGGAAATTTTTATTTGCCTCACAACGTTCACATTTGCTGCATTTCTTGTGTGTGGAATAACATACGTTTGTGTATTGTATGTGTGTGTGTGTGTGTGCTTACCGATGTCAGTGAATCGCGCTGTGAGAATGTCACTTTAATCTCAGTGCGTCCTCTTTCCAAACGTTCCAATTTAATCTGACCAAAGTAGTCATTGCCCTCGTGTAGATAGGTGAAATGCTGCTCACAAGGCGACGCGACGGGTGATTGAGCAAGGCAAAAGTGTGGAAGTAGGAAAATACTTAACAAGAGGCAAGGCAACATAATTTAATTTAGTGAATTTGATTTTTGTTATATGAACTTTTACAAAAATAAATTTAAAGTAAACACAAGGGCACATATGTATATATAATAAAATATATATACTCTTACTATATGTGAAAAGAGACTTAAGCTTATGGTGAAAGTTTTGTATTAAAATTCTTTTCTTTTTTTTTTTTTTTGGTGAATCACAGTTTGTATTTAAAAGTTTTTTTACGTGAAAAGGCGGTAAATTATTTACTTTAACACTTAAAATTATTTCTTTTATTTATCTACATTTTAATGCAACACTTTAATTTTTATATTCTTTTCTAATCATCGCGCACCGCTGTTGTAATTTAAATAATTTTTAATATGATTTTTTTTATTGAAATCAAAATCTATGTTTTTATTATCTGCAGATCCTAACACTTATCATATTATGATCACTCGACTTATTTTCATTTATTATTATTTTTTTCTTTGCTTCTTCCTCTCAGATTTGTGTGTGCACTTTTATGTTTATGCCCTTTATATATTTATTTTTTGTTTTAATATTTTTTCTCTCTTATTCTTATGCGTACACTGCGTTAGCGGACACGCACCTCAACCAAACAAAAGCCCGAACCCGCCGAGCAACTTACAACGATTGCGGACTCTTTGCTTCATTGCAACAAGTTGAAGTGCGCACTTAAGTCAGGCAAACTGGCAGACAGACAATGCCGTAAGTATGCAAACAAGTTGGCGCTTAAGTGCCGCTACTGCTGAGGTTGCTGCGGTTGCTGAGGTTGCTGTTGCCGTGATAGAGAGAGCAAGGGATTTATTTAATTTAAATAACAAAATACAAAAAAAAGTGAGAGAAGAATAGTCATTAAATAAATTTTCATATTCTTTATTAAAAACAAAAACAAACTTTATTTAAGGTATAAAGTACATTCCTCACACTATTATTGCTCTCTCGCTACTAATATCTCGCTCATAATATATTTGCCGTAGAAATAGCAAAAAAATCTTATTAAAATCCAAAAAAATACGTTAAAAACTTAAAAAAAAAATACCAACAATGCTTTTAATTCCCACTCAACACTACTTTTTCCTCTACTCAATGTAGGTAGGCAGCTATTTTTGGTATTATGCGCTCGCAACTCATCCCAGTAGCAAACTGTAAGGCCTTGAAAGCGAAGAGGTGAAGTAGAAACTGGACTTTAAAGCCTCACCTGAAAAATTAACACCGCGATGTTATTGCAAATGTAAGAAGGCCTTTTTATTTCCTTTCAAGATACCATTTCCTGTAAGGGAGTTCATCATATGTAATATCAGTAGTTAAGGTTATTTTAAGTACCTACTTTTTTATCGCATGCCAGGAAATGCTTAGTTGAATCAGCTTACTTTTGCTATGCATACCATTTTCTCATATTCCTTTGCACAAAAGCTGAATTAAATTGAATTAAAAATTTATTCAAAATGGTTTTAAGACTTTCAATAATACCACGAGCTAAACATCATAGTTCTTGCTTTCTTAACAGACAAAACACGACGAAAATTTTAATCATCACCACACCTGTGCCAACATCTTAATGTATCGCTTTAAGGCGTTCACTGCAATATCAAATAAATGCATTTCTATTTTTTCTTGAGTGAGTTTGTGTTTGTTTTTGCTTTTTGGGAACCCATCTGCATTACCTCTTTACTCTCCAAAGGTAAGGCCTTACCACTTTTGCTAGAGGGATAAAGCGCGCGTCAAGGGAAACCAAAAACAAAACAAAAAAACAGAAACGATGCAAATCCAGAATTAAGCATCCTAATGTACATACATATGCACAAACATACATACTACAGCATTTAAATATACTGATTAAATTTGCTGGAGACTGGGGAATGACACTGTGATAAGCATGAGTTCGTTAGTCGCATTGGTATAAGTAGCCGTAAGCGCATACACTACGCGACGAGTAAACGTATACGTTGGAAGATTGAGAAGTTTTTATTGTGAGAAATGCAAATGGTACTAAAAGTGTAATCCTCATTTACAATAAAAAATTTGCTAAACATACATACTCCGTACAGTTTTCTCTTAACCTTTACAATAATATAATAATACAAAAAATTGCTAGAATGATGCTAAATTTTAGACAGAGAACGTTGGTTATGTCAAGTTTGCAATAAAACTGCACACTAATGCTTTCAAACATCGTTTTTAAGCTAACAACTTTTAATTGGCAACCAGTGTAAAATTATGTGTTTGTTTCCTTCTCTATTAACTTCATTTGTTTGCCTTTTAAATAATCGATGGATTTCGCGTATTTGTTGCCGTATCTGTATTTAGTAAGAACAACAAAAATCTCTCAAGAAATCATAGGTCAAAGTATCAAATAAAAAAAAATTCAAATGTACATATGTATAAATGATCATCACATACATATAAAAACCCCGAAATGAGATAAGATACGCTGCATTTCCGAGTCATTCTTTTTCAAGCGGGACTACTCGAAGCGATGATGTTCAGAAAGCATATTTATTGATACCTCATAATAAATTTGAATGTACAAAAATTTATGCTTGGAAATTTTCTATCGCGAAATCATATTAGAAAGGGAATATTTCATATAAAGAAGCAGAGTGAATTCCATTAATACTTCATCATATCACATAAATCATCTATGAATGCAACGAATACTAAGAAATTATATTTCAGATAAGGAATAAGAAAATATTTGCCTCGAATTTATATCGATTTTATTTCATGATATGGTTTTTTGAATTGAATTCTCATCATAACTAAAAAAAAAAACCGAGAAAATTAAATTTAATGTTTCATTCGAGAAAACACAAAAAGAGATTTCACTTCTACAGAATTATTCGCTAACAGCGATAGCACACAAGTCTGAGTAGTTAGCAGTGCATACTGCTATTCAAAAGGCGAGTGTTCGTGCCCCGTTCAGGTCAAGATCAAAAATTAAAGAAAATTATTTTTTCTACTTGAGACCTCGGCAGGAAATATCAGCTGCCCTCCGAGAATATTTATGACAAGAAAAAAAAATCCTCATAAAAAATACCTCGGCCAAACGGAGGCAGCTTGAAAAGTAAGTATACTGAATTTTGTTAGTTTTAAAAATTTTTGTCCAAACAAAATATTTACTTATTTGCGATTCTCAATTTTTTAATTGTCTTCTAAGACGGCTTTAAGATCGACGAGCCGGTGGTATTTGTCGATCATCTCTTTATGGATGTTTTCCCAGATTTGGCGCATGGTGAATATTTGGTCAGGGGTGTCACTGGCGACACTGATAAGTTTTGTTGGCGATTGGTTTTAGTTTTGCACTCAATACGTTTGATAGAACCTCATATGTGGTATTTAGGGGGCTAATTCCACGGTAATCAGCGCAAAATCTGGGATCGCCCTTTTTGTCGTTTCGGTTCCACTCGCCAAACATGCTTTCGTGCGACCATATACTGAATCATGCATCATTTTCACTGCCATTCAGTAAGCTTCAGAAGTGCTGCCTTCATTAATACAGTATACCCCGGCCATCAGTTAGTAGATCACTTTTTGGATGCTACCAGAGTGTATTTACTCCTTTTCTTGAATGTTCGAGCACCAGGCCTGTACACTGGCTTCTCAAGCTTTTCATATATATGTATCCTGCCTTTTTCTCTTTGGTCTATCTAGCCCATCTTACCTCTGTTGTGGTCGGATAACAATGCCTTATTTGCTCTAAGACTTAAAATTGCAATTCAAAGTTGGTGTACTTAATTAAGCTGTAGAAATATGGTCTTCAATTTAGCACTAGAATTAAAAGACGTTTTCTATGCAATTTAATAATTTTAGAAATATATTAAAAAATATAAAAAAAAATTGAAAATTTCGTAATCAAAACACAACACTTCATGTAGCAAAATTTAAATTTATTTGAGTTTCTCTTCAGTCGCATATTACTTTCCTTTCATTCTATACATCACGTGGGGTATGATAAGCGACCTTTGATAGTCACCCACATACACCACCTTATACATATATTTATATATATATATATATATGATGTATATATATATATACATCATAAAGGCACACATCAGGTAAAATTTGAATGGAAATTGTCGCTAAATAATTGAATTTCGTTTAACAATAATTTAAAATCACTTCTGTTACAATCTAAAATTCGCTTTCTTCCTTTTTCATTTGCAAAATGCCAAATATGTGCGCACAATTCTTCTTTTTCTTCTTCTGCGCTCTCCCTTGAATACTTCTATATGAGTAAAAAAAAACACTTGCAGTTGTATGTGTGTGTGTATAAAGCTGTTTTGCGATCGCGCCTTCCTTAGGTAATAGCGCGTATGAATTTCATTATTTGTACTTGCGTGTGTTAGTGTTGGCGACGACATCACAGCCACCTGCATTTGAAGTAGGCGTAAATTGATTTCCCTTTGTCGCTGTTGGTGATTTTCGTTTTTGAAACATTATTGGCACCCAATGACAATGGGTGGCAATAAAAGACAGACAAACAGCCAAGCACACATAAATACTCAAAATGCTTTATATATGAAAAAAATGCTCAGATTTTTGTATTTAAACTGACTTTAAATTGAGCTAAATATATTTGCAAACATACATAATGAAACGTCACCGTTAATCGGTTGTTCAAAGTATAAAAAATACAAAATTTTTAAATTATTTTTCCAAAAGAAAATTTATGTCTTACCATAGCAAAACAGAAAATTTTCTAAAATACAATAATTGTTCACCACAGAAACACTCAGAGCAAGATAAATTCTTAGTAAGAAGAAAAATATTTCAGAAGAAGACGAGGAGAATCTCAAATGTTAAAAGCCAAGTGTGCACGGTTTTGTACCAAGTCCGGTTAGTTAGTTAGGTTGCTCAAACACGGGGTTCCCAGATCGAGCGCTTTTAAGCCTGTCGGTCTGCTGTTGTATCTTCTATAGGTACAACTCTAGAAGAGACCGTTCTAGACGCTGAAACAACTTGGTTTGTAGAAATTACTTAGGAATCCATGTTACGCTATGGAGTGGAAGATGTACTGCTTCACCGTCTCTTCCTTATCTATGTCTCTATAGCCGCGACAGAAATCATAAGCGAAGCAGCCCATCCTTCTATCATGAGTCCCCATCAAACAGTGTCCGGTAAGGTTTTTTTTACAAGCAGCAGCGTCCTAGTTGGATTTGTGTGGATCTAAGTACCAAGTAAG